TTGTTTGTCTTTTGTTTTTTCTTTCTTTTTGTTTTTGTTTTGTTTGTTTCTTTGTTGTTTGTTTTTTGTTGTTTGATTTTGTCCGTATGTTATGTTGTTAACTATGTATGTATGCATGTACACACGCATACACGCATGTATCTATATATATATATATACATATGCATGCATGCTTCTATGCATGCACATGTGTATGTTGTATGTATGTATGCGTGTATGTATGTTTGTGTGTATGTATGCATCTTTATATGTATGAATGAATGGATGGATGGATTGATTTATGGATGTATCAGTGTATGTGTTCATCAGTGTGTGTATTGTGTTGTTCATTTATCTCTATACGTGTTTTTTTTAGTCTATTGATGTTTGTTTTAAATAAAAAAAACTGTGCCCTTCCAGGACGCCCCTAGGGCGGGCCTTCCCAGGGCGCTGCCAGTGCCCTCCCAGGGCGTCCCCACGGCTTTCCCAGGGCCTCACCAGGGCTTTCAGGGCGCTCCCGGTGCAATTGCCAGGGCCACTTCGAGGGCGTTCCCAGGGCGCTCTTGGGCGCTCCCAGTGCCCTCCTGGGGCGCCCCATAGCCTTCCCATGGAACCGGAGCCCACGCCCGAGTTCGAGTCCGAGCTTCGGTCCGAGCTGGGACCCCAGCCGAATCCCGAGCAGAAGCCTGAGTCTGAGCCCGACCCAAGCTCCAGTTCAAGGCTGAGTTCGAACCCGAGTCGAACCCGAGTCTGGGCCCGATCTCAAGAATCCCAGGTCGAACCTGAGTCGCACGCCGAAACCTGGAGACGGCAGCCGTTGCCAGGCAGAACGTCTGAGATTCAAAGGGAAATCGTTCAGCATTCGATTGGCTTACGCCACATCCGCCGACCCCTATATAAACTACTGCGCCTCCAGGATCGGACTGCATTTCACGACGAGGCTTGTCCGAATCATGGCACGGCGCTCGACATCGTTCCTGTTGCTTCGTTGCTGTTATCGTACCTGTTGGTGCTCTTTTGTGGCCTTTTGGTGGCATCTTGGCCTGTCTGCAGGCCACATCCGGCCGCCTCGAGGCATCTTGGGCCAAGTGTTGGGGCTTCTTGGGGGCTTCCTGGGGGCTTCTTGGAGGCCTCTGAGGTTCTCTTGGGGGTCCCTCAGGGCCTCTTGAGGTGTTCTTGGGGCAGGCTGGGGGCGTCTTGGGGCCGACGGCTCGGAAAGGTGCCCTATGGACTCCCTCTTGGAGCCGTCTGGGGGCCCTCTTGGGCTGTCTGTGGGTCTTCGTGGGCTGTTTTTGGATCCTCTTCGGCTCCTCTTCGGGGCCCTGTGGCCGTTCGGGGGCGATATTGAAGGTTTCTTTGCCCGTCTGGGGCGTTGTGAAAGCCGAAAACGCGAGTATCCGAAACAGTTTTTTGGTCGAAGAGAATGGGACGGTTTTTGTTTTTTGTGACCCTCTTGGGACGCATCTTGGGGGCCTTTTTGGGCGTCTTGGCAGCTTCGGAGGCCGTCTGGAGGTCATCGTGGGCGTCAAGGAGCGCTATTTCGGCGACTCGTGGCCCTTTGGGAAAGTCTGGGGAGCGTTTTGGTACCTTCTTGGCCCGTTTTGGAGCCCTCCGCTCCCCCATGACGCGTTCAGTCCGGGGTCGCGCCGGGCCAGGGGGGGGGGGGTCAAATTGCCCGTTTGGGGTCCCTGGGGGGGATTACGGGGGGGATAATCTCGCACTCCTAGAGACCCACAAGAGGTCGGCGGATATGCGCTTACTACTTCTTCATATCGTGTTTCTGAAAATGGGTGCCCTTGACCGAAAATGAGCTGCAGGGGTACCCAGGACCTGTAAAATCACCAGGAACTCAATTGTGGAACGTCTTCTGGACCTCGATTCGCAGGTCCTGGTGCCCAGAAGGGGCAGCTACACCAAAAGCGCGGTCGCGCGTCGTTGCAATTGCACACGCCGGTCTTTGAAAGTAGGTATTTTCGGATACCAGATCCCAATCTATTTTATGCGCCGTCCTACTTCAAGAATCGATATGTGTTTGCTGAGTTGTGTCTGATTCCAATCTACTTTATCCGCCTTCCTACGTCATGCTTCTACCTACTTCTTCCGACCGACGGGTATGGCGGGGTCCAAAATTATGGTTATCGTTGATTGCGTAATTCTAGCAGCCTAACTACAATAGGAGGCCTTGCCGCATCCAGCAGTGCGATATGACGTGGGCGCATTTGTGAGCTCAACACCGGAACAACCCGGGCAAAGTTGGTCCACTTCTAATACATTTAGTTAAATCTTGAATGGACTTAATTCAGATATGAAATATGGTTGCAGCTGATTCATCTCCGAGTGCAATTGACTCTATCACCAATGTAATTGATTGAACTCCTAGTGCGATTGATTCAATCCCGAGTGCGACTGACTCGATTCCGAGCGTAGTTTATTCAATTCCGAATTGAATTGGTTTAATCACCCATGAAATTGGCTCAATCCCGAGCGTTACTAAATTCTGGAAGTTGTTGACGTTTCACCGAGGGCAACTAATTCACCGAATCCCGAGTGCATATGATTCTATCTCGATTGCAATTCACCAAAATGTGAGTGCAGTTAGCTCGCTTCCGGGTGCAATTGACTGAATCACGAGTGCGAATAATTTTATTTCCAAACTAATTCACAAATTCCTAGATTCAATTGACGGTATTCAAACTGCAATTGATTAAATTCCGAGTGATATTTGCTAAATCTTGAATGGGATAGATGGAATTCCGTGAGCAGTTGACTCACCCTCGAGCGCAATTGATTCGTTCAGCAATGCAATTTACATAACACCGAATCCAATTTATTCAACCCCGACTGCATTTGAGTCAACCTGAGTGTATCTCACACAATTTCGAATGCAAGTGTCTGAATCACCAATGCAGTTGACTCAACCCCGAGCGCAGATGGCTGAACTTCGAAAGCAATTGATTCATTCCCGAAGGGAATTGACTGAATCGAGTGCAAGTGTACCTGCTTCGAATACAATTGATCGAAATCCGAATGATACCAATCCAACGTCGGTGCACTTAACTGACAGTCAAACCCAAGTGACGAAATTCCGACCGCAATTGAAACAAGTCCGAATGCAATCGATTGAATTCCACAGGATATTAATCAAAGACGATATGATGAGAAATCAGATGTCCATGCTTCTTTCTGAATCATGCGCAGATTATGAGTTTTGGAGACCGAAACCATTCGTCAAGGCACACAGAGGAAAGCCTAACAATCACAATGCACAATGACAAAGCGTACATTGAAAAGGCAACGCGCCGAACGCATGTGTTCTTTCAGTTCTGCCAGACACGGGGCGACACGAATCGTAATATTCATAGTAGGCTACAGATTCGCACGGCGAACATGCGAGAATGAAGCATTATCGACACATCATAAATGTAACGTTCCGAACACACAATTTCTGTTTCGGACAGACCGCTTGAGCACCGGAACGCCCGACGGTAATCTTAGCACGGAAGCGTCCGAATTGGCAATTTGAACATTGAAACGCCAGGATGAGCAATTTGAACACGGAGACGCCCGAATCGGAAATTAGATCAAGAGAATTCCCGATTCTGTGATCTTATAGCACGGAAGCGCCCAAGTTGGCAATTTGAGCACAGCGACGCCCGTGCCGTCAATTTGATAATAAAAACGTGTGAATTGGCAATTGGGGCAAGAACCGTCTAAATCGATAGTATGAACAGAGAAAAAAACGAATTTACAATTTGAGCACGGACAATTTAAGCACAGAGACGCTACAAATTTGGAATTCGAGCATTGTCGCGCCGGAATCGGCAATCTGAGCACGGACGGTATGAGCACGGAAAGCGAATCGGCACGGAGACGCCCGAATAGGAATCCCATTATTTTGGCGCAATTTTGAATTCCTAAGAAATGATCTTACAATTCTGTCGAACCATACGTTTTCTTAATCATGGTTTAGTTTCTGTATTTGGCGTCGCTACTCTCTCACTCTCTCTCGGTCGTTTGTTATTGCCTGAGCGTTTCTTGTTGTTTCACTGTTGTTGGGTGTGTTGGGCCTCGTTGGTTTCCTGGCGTTTTTGTTCGTTTGAGCCAGTTTCGTTTGGCTTGCTGGGGGAGGGAGTGCTATTTTGGGCATCGCTATTATTTGTTCGTTTTTGTTGTTGCCCGTTTCTCCGATTTGTTCTGCCAGTTTCATACATATGATTGTTTATGGTGTGTCGATTATGTTTTCAATAGTGTTGTCATCATGTTTGGTTGACGTGCTTGGCCTCGTTTCCCTCTCACTCCTTTGGTCGGTTGTTATTCCTCGAACGTGTTGTTTTCATTGTTGCAAGGTGTTGCTGGTTTCACTGCTCTCTGAAAACTGTTGTTTCTCAGTTGTTGTCGCTTGTTTTATAATTGTCTCAGCGTTTCGTGTTGCGATGGTGTGCCTGATCTCGCTGTTCTTGCAGCATGCGTTCATTACTGAGTGTGTCACCCACGTCCAGATCTCTCAGCTTTGTTTGTTGATGTATTTCGCGTCGTTGTTATCTTAGCGGTTTGGTTTGTCGTTTTGTGGTTGGTGTCTATAATGTTGTTGTTTATTTCGTTGTTAAGTTTTGGTGGGTGTTCTTTGGCATTATTGTTATCTTGGCGCTGAGTTTGTGTATATTTGCCGACTTCTGTTTGTTTATCATCTCACAGAAAAATACAGTATATCATTCCCGCGTTGACTTATCTTAATTTATTTGAGCGCGTTGAGACCCAGGAGCTTCCCACGATTGCACCGCGATGGGCTCCAGGACACATCTTGGCGAATGTTGGAAGTGATATACGATTCCCAGCCTCGCTTCCAATGGCTCTTGGAATATCTCGCAACGAACCGCGAGACTGTCCGAGAGCGCTTGACCCTGAAATTTGGGACGACGGCGCACGTAAAGAGGATTACCCTATCAATGAATGGTGATGACTCGAAGGACACTGGTGACACTCTACTCAGTGCTTGCGGCACGGTGGCGGATACTCCAGAGCCTCATTGAGTCGGACTTCGGCCAGACCGTTGTTGGAAAGCAGCCGTCACGATTGGGCCGCGTGCACGTCTCTGGCGGCGGCGCGTGTAAGTATCCGCCCTTGTTCTTGAACGCCATGGGCTTGAGCATCGAGCCCGTCAAGGAGCTGCGGGCCATGGTGGAGGGCCTGCTATTCCTGCAGGAGACTTCCGCAGGCTCGAGGCGAAATGACGATCCACAGGGCGATCTCTACACCGTCGACCAGGACCCGTGCTGCCCCTGGCCCGTTGAGGGAAGGGAGAGGGGCGAGAAAGAACAGTAGATCCAGTCGGGGCCAAGGCGCCTTTGAAACGCAGGCGAATTAGAGTTGTCTCGCTCCTAGCTGGTTTTCTGTCGCCTTGCCAGGGCCCGCCGGGCCCGTTCGGCTGCTCGCAAGGCCAAACCAGAAGCTCAGACGGGCCAGGGGGCAGCATTGAACAGGACGGTCGCAGCGTCGAATTGCCCTGGCCCGACCCCTTGTTCCCGCTCATCCTGGTCACGGCGGTTTGGAATCTGTCGCCCCGCAGCCCTCGTGCGGAGTGGAACGTGGACCTCCCTCCTCACGCCGGAGATTTGTCCATGGCTGTTGATCTCTGGAGACGTGCCCCCAAAAGAACTCGAAGCCTCCCCGCCGCTGGACGGCAAGAAGAGGCCAAGCTTAGATCTCTGACGTTCCGCGAGATCCTCGGGGGCAAGGCTCCGCATCGGTGGATATGCACAGGTCCCCTGCCCAGGGATCGTTTTGATTCCTCCGATTCGATTCGATTAGATTTCGATGGTTTCCGATTCCGATTCGATTCGATTTCGGCTTCCGATTTGGATTCCGATTTCTCAATTAGGCCTTACTGCTCTACCGGTTTCCGCCGATTCGACTCCTCCCGACTTGTCTGTCGATGTCCGCCGATACGATTAATTTTGATCGCCGATTCGATTTATCGATTCGATTCTGGGCTCTCCTGCCAGCGCGAGGTTTCCCCTTCTTGCCCAGCCCCCCGCAAGAGCCAGGCAGCTAGTTTTTTTACTCGTGCGGCAAATCGTTCCAAAAACAGCAATTTGTTTCGGAGGTCTGCGCGGATGCCTCGGATCGGCGCTGGACCTCTGAAAGTTGTTGTTTCTTTTCTTGCCCTTTGTTGACGGACGTGACCGGGCGAAAGGGGAAGGGGGGACGGGGCCTGCTTTTTAACCGGCGCCGCCTGGGAATGTTCAGGAATAGTGTATTCAAAAACGGCGTTGAATCGTGACGTGACCAGAAGGGGGGAGGGGGAGGGTGCGGGGCCAGTCACGAGCGTTATCGCGGATAATACAATAAACATTTGCCAGTGTGGACCCCAAGCAGCGCGTTCAAGCATATTATGTGGTGCAATATTTGTGCGAACTTGAAGTTGTCAACTCCACAGCTCGCGCAACCATCCCACCCACCCACCCGCAATTTTGTTTGCAAAATCCAGTCGGCGGCGGTTGCGATGAGTGCTTGGCGTTGGTTGGTGCATATTTGCGGCCGCGCAAGCCCGCACATGCTCGCGCGCACAGCGGCCAGCTAGTTCGGCGCGACCGACGCGGCCGCGGTGGCGCTGACCACTTGGCATTTCCCACCGAGCTCAGCAATGCGAGTCGGCGACTTGGGCGGGCGCAGTATCATGGCAACGTCTGCAACAGTAGACACGATGATGATAGTAGCGATGCTGGTGGCGATGATGACAGCAACGACGGCACTGCCAGTGACGGTGCCGATGCTGATCACGCTGACGACGATGACGGAGTCTTCGTTTCGGTGAAAAAGTTTGCGGAAGGAGCTCGACATGCGCGCGCGGCCGACGCGCGAGAGTGACATCATTTGATGCGGACCGTGCCCCCCCCCAGCGCGCGCGCAAGGGCGTTCGAATGGTTCCGACATGCGGCGCGAGAGGCCCATTTGGCAGAATTGAACGAAACGTTGAACAACCCATGGTTCCCCCACGAACTCACAGGAGCTCGAGCGCTGAAATGTTTGAAAACTGGTGTTGGGAAGCCATGTTTCTTTGATGTGTTCCGGGACACTCGATTTTGAACCCCCGACGAACCAAAACGTTTGTTAAAAGGATTTTCGCATGCGTGCGCAACGACGCGCGCGTGTGCACATCGTGCCATTTGTTGCAAAAGGCTTCTTGCGACAACACGCGCGCAAAGACGTTCGAGCGATTTCGATATGCGCGCGCGAGAGGTACATTTGGTAGCATGTGGTGCAATTTTTGAAAACCGGATGGTCTTTGTTATGCAAAAAAAACATTATATCAACGCGAGCGCAGCGTTTTGCTCTCGCTATGGCACAACCATGTTTGTTGTATATGTTGCTGGGGCACCTGATTTTGAATTCCTCACGAAACCTAGGGTTTTGGAGGATGTCGGCGCGCGACGACGCGACCCGGTGTTCCCGTCATTTATTTCGTGGAATATTTGAATGTTGATGATTGTTCATAGTCGGGCGCGCGCGCATAAATTGTTTTGCGAAAAGGCGTTATTACCAGCTTGGCTTGGACGATACGACTTCAGATCTACGATGGGAGATAGGGCAGAACCGTATTTCAGTTGCAATACGCGAAAGCGGACCCGTTAAGGCCGGGGGGGAGGGGTAGATCTGAATGCTCTTCTGGAAGTGATATATATATATATACATATGTATAAATAAATAAATAAATGCATATATATATACATATGTGTGTGTGTGCGTGGTGCAACCTATTCTTCGTAAATATATGTTATGCCGCCGAGGTTTAGCACAGGTGGCGCAAATTGTGTGGTGCAGCTTGGTTGGTGCAGCATGTGTGGCAAAACCTGCGTCGCACAATATTTGTATTCTTATATACGTATACACATTTACATGCACACCATATACATGTCCAGACACATAAGTCTATACATATACAGATATGTATATGAAAATGTGTGTTGCAAGCC